TGATCCGTGCAAGCGCGTGCATTTAAACACACACACACACACACACACACACACACACACACATATATATATATATATATTTAAATATGTGAAAACTTGTACCATTCGCCATCTGTTGATATAAATGTATTTCCTAATTATACAATTCTTATTTATTGAATATTCATTTATTATTATATTTTATATATAAAAGATTAATTAAATTTTACCTTCTAATTTATTTCGTTGAAAGAAAATTTTTAAAAAATTGTAACTTTAGTAAACACTTTTATGAAACCACTTTTATGAGCATTAATAGATAAATTAATAATTTTTATAAATATTGAGTTTCCTCGCAATTCCTTATATATTATTTCAAATTATTAATAATAATATTGTTTTAAAACAAATAATATATGTATATACTATAAATGAAATAATTGCTCATACACTTTCACCGTTTTACATATTCACTTGTATATTTTGAATGTAGTTAGTCGTTATAAATTCTATTTTTTATTTAGTAATTTTCTTTATATCCGGAAACTTTACAATTTTACACCCATTTATAAAAAAAATTTTATATCAATCTTGTAGTATTTGGAACATCATAATTCGTTCTTTTTATATAAATTCATTGATAACCATGACGAGTAAAAGAAGATATTCTCTAAAAAAATATTAATGTGAAAATTATTATTTAATAAAATTTGCAACTAATATTTTCATACGTAAACAATATTACGTATTCCATTATTCTGCCGTGATCTCAGAAAGAAATATGCTCCTAACTTTTGATGAGCTCGTACAGCGCAAAAGGTAATATAAGTTGATTATAACATATTAAAGCCATATTGTCATATATACTTTGATTGTATTACGTGCACCAATATATTTAAGATGCAAGTGGAAGCATGAAGATATACATATATAAATGTGTACATCTTACGTATATTCAAGCGATACATAAAATAATATTTCTACATGCAAATGGAATAATTTACTGTATCCATATATTAAAATTATCTATAGAGAAAAAACTATTGAAATTTTTATATATAGATTCTTAAATAAAAAATCTATAAAATTCATCAAATTAATAGTTATTGAATCGATAAATTATCATTCAAATAACTTTAACAGTTTAATATTTTATTTATATAATCAACTATACTATTGCGTATATAAAACTAGGTAGAAAAAGTTAATAATTATATAAAAATAAATATAATTAAGTTACTTCAACTACTGATATTTCTTTATATTTTCCTATACCAATACTATTTTTATGGTTTCTCAAAATAATATACAAAACAATTAATACAAAAATTATTGTAAGAATAGAACCAAATTTTTACTAACTTTTACTAACATTTACTTATGTATTTCATATTAACTGAATGTGATTTTTAAATTTTGTTTCAATATAAATTAGTAATATTCATTGTAAATTAATAACAGCATAATTATGAGATTTGCATCAAAACTAAAAATGACATGAATTAATAAACGTATGTATTAAATATAATATGAATAATTATAATCATTGGATTTTTTAAATCGACGATGATTCAAATAATTGCAATGTATTTTATTTAATTAATTTGATTATGGTATTATTTAATAAATGGTACTATTTAATAAAAGCTTAGCCTTATTTTTGCATATATATACATATTTGCGAATATATTTTTCATAATAATATTCATAATTTCATCCGAAGGATCTGATTGCTGAAATAAGCAGGTATGATGGCGGCAGATAAAGATAAAAAATTATTCCAGAATTTGTTTTTTAAATTCGAGGGAAAAATATAGAAATATAAAGTTTTGTATATAAAATATACTATTGTCTAAGAAAATTGATTCCACTTAAAAGCTATTCCCTCCATTAAAATACTTAAAATACTTATTTTCAATTATTAAAATTAAAACAACTTCTATTAATAATAATAAAAATATTTTCTAAAAAATTTTCGATTACAACATATGCACTCAACGATAAAAATAATTTACATAACATATCAAATACATTGTTAAGAATGTAATCATTAACTCTTATTTCAATTATAATAATTAATGCGATACTATCCTAGAAAAATTAATTCCGATAACTAATGTATTCTGAAATTTATTTTACATAACTACCATTATAAATCAAAAATTGAAAAACAAAAATTAAACAAAATGAAATAAAAATTAACTAAAATAAGTTGTAACGATTATGGTTATAGTCGGTAAATATAGTCGAATTGTATCTCGAAATAGTTATAGAAATCAAATATGTAGGTAAAAATACTAAAACAAAAAAATATGAAAACTAAAAGAAAATTAATTTGTATTATAAAATAATAATATTTATAATTCTAACTATCGTTATTTTACAGTGAAAATTAAAATTATAAAAATAATTTTTTACTCTAAATACACTTAAATCATACAATAATTTTAGAAATATGAAAAAAGATATTGAAATTCTGACATACATTTTTCAGAAGCTTTTTCAAATTAAAATTTTTTTTCTTTCGTTTTTAATACTCAATTACTCTCTAATTACTACTTCTAGTAGAAAAGAATTTTTATTAGTACATATATCGAAAATAATAATGTTATATAATAATAATAATAATAATGATAATAATAATAATAATAATAATAATAATAATAATATAACAAAATAATGTATAATAAAAGTTATATATCTGATTATTTAAATACATAAGTCAACATATATATTACAAAACGTGCAACATAACGGTAACATGACATATAAAGAAAGTGTGTGTATAAATAAGTTTTGAAGAATTTCTAACGCAATAATAGTAAATTATTTGATTTGAAAAAAAAAATGTAAAAAGCACTTTCAAGAGTTAAAACGAGTCCAACCAAGCAAATCCACAAACTTCAACAGTTAGATGCAATTTATTTTGAATGTTAATAATTACATATGTAGAGCATAATAATACATAGAATATGGACAACAATGTACAAACGTATTTCCAATTATAATTATACAAGTATTTAATTAACGACTCTATAGCAATAAAAGCATTCAATGTCTTTTTCTAAATCTTAAAATATTCATTTAGACATTAATTTAAATAAAAAAAGTATATAAAATTGATCCTCTTAACATTTACATTGAATACCATAAGTTCCGAAATTCAATTTCAAGATTAAAATATTAATTTCTTTTCTCTTCTTCTTCTTCAAAAAAGTTCGTTGTCATTGTAATTCTTGATTTATGTTTTCCTCTTGTCCTCTCCATACCTTTAAAATACTTTAAATATACTTTAAAACTTTCATAATATATTCACGAATACTTAATTTACGAACTAAGGCAAAACCACAATTTCCAATCCTTTAAAACAGTCCATCCCTTAAGACTACTCTGACCTCTGCAGTAATAGATCTATTAAGAAGTAATAAATTGTTTTAATATATCTTTATTATTTAATTTAATTGCTTTTTAACATCTTTGTTTTTCACAACGATCTTTCATAAAAAATAAAATAAAATAAAATTAATAACTAAAAAAGATAAGTTTTTTTTTAATACTTTTGTTATTCCTGCGCTATTATATAAATAACAAAGCTATTAAATATAAATAAATACTGTTTACATTCTACTTATTTCTCAAATAAATTTCTCATGTCGACGAACAAGAAATGCCACGCATAATAAATAAATCTATTAATTTGAATAATATTCGATATTAATGACCATCGTTTATGCTTTCGCTTGATATGAATAACTAAACCGTATGATAAAAAAAAAAAAAAAAACTAAATCTAACTATGGTAAATGAGATTGATTTTACAATATAGTATTTACGATTAACAGCAAAAAAAAATAATAATTTTGTTAATTTCAATAATGTTAAATTATAATACTTGACATACTTATAGGATACTCATAGGATTTGATTTTTTAACGCCTCTCCCCCCCCCCCCCCACCCCT